TTTTACTTACTTGTACTAAAAGTACATCTTGTTAGGGTTTGTACTAATGGTTAACTTTTTTTCAAGACCAAAGTGCTAGTTATAGGATAAGTATTTCATATTAGGCCTACAAAATACATCATCCTCCAGTAAGCACAGCTCTATTCAAAGGGCTTTTTCTTTATAACTTGGCTCAACTGACCACAGAACGGGAGAATGGGGATGGCTCAGAGGTGGCAATAGCCATAGAAACCAAAAATAAAGCACTGCTGTTAGCCATTTCAACTTGAACTACTGTCTTTTACCAACTGCTTCTTGAATGTGCTGGGGAGCAATCTGAGGAAAGATAAACAAAACCTGGAGCAGGCACTAACCCAAAACACTGTAGCTCCAATTTTAGGAATGAAAATAAATATTAAACATATGTATCATCATATATAATGGCAAAGACAGACACGGTGATGTCTCAGGCTTTCTCTGTGGTGCTGCTGGCATGCAGTGGAGTAATTGCCACATTATCCAGCACAATTTGAATGGAACTGAGTCAAATTTAATTAGCTCCTGTCTTTAGAGCATTTCTTCACCCACAGCGGTTGTAGTCTTTAGGGTCCTGCTGTGCAACTGAAATGTTCTACACAAAATGCAAGCTGTTAGGGGAATCCCATTCTGAAATCTGCCCTAGTCTACCATTACATACTGTAACTCCTACACTAGTGGTGGTCTGGTTTGTGTTTATCACTTTCTTCTAGGGTATCTTTACATCCTTACTTCACATAGTACTGTATGGCAGCCTGGCCTGTCCAGCCCTTAAGCCTTGGAAATGCCCTTCATGGATTTGACCATATTTAGACCATGAACTTTTTTCTTACAGATTGTTGTTCCACTTCTGTCTGCAGTCATTGCCTCACTGCCTTTACCAAATGACTTGTCTCCTTATCTTCTCTGAAACTTTTTGCTTTTCCTTCATTGATAAAATGCTGTTGACCATTAAATAACAATTTTGGGCTTCAGTTCTGTTTTATTTTTGTGAAGAAGTGCTGCAAAGTAATGATTTTAAAATGCTACTTTATTATTTTAGTTTTGTATTTAATGTAAGTACAGTCTTCTAAAATTACAGATTACTTTCTTAATTCTAATGATAGACACCACAAAATTGTCCAAAAAACTTATAGAAGGTGGTCTGTTTCAAATTCAGAATTGCTGTTCAGATTATACTGAGTATGACAGAAATACTTCCAGAACATTTTAATTACTCCTAAATGATAGAAAAATATTTTCTTAAAATACAACTTTAAAGATCTACAGAAATAGTTGTGGAACTCTGAATGCTTAATTATTCCTTCTATTCCTGGCTTTTTGCAAAAGTATAAAAAAACATACTGACTTGTTCTACCTAAGGCTGCTGATGTAACTCACATTAAACAGATTAAATACAAATTTGGTGAGATTGCATTTCAAATTGCATGACAAAACTAAAACGTGGGTAAAGCAGATAACTTTTAAAGAGTAGAAGTTCAGAGAATTAAGTTTTGCAATGAATGCTGGAGACATGCTTTTTCTACACAGGCTTCTTCGGCGCAACTGCTCATCGGCTTTAACAGTGTTGAACTGGCTGTTGAGCTCTCCTTGCCCTGGGAGGCACCTACCTCTTCTCAGCTCTGTTCTGTCCTGTCAGTTGTAAAGATCTATAAAACAGTAATGGAGAGAGAGGGAGCTTTACCATTCTGTCTCCAGCCAAAGCATTCCCTGCTCGAGTTTTTTGGTTTCTAAAAAGACTTAAGGCTAAAATATTTGTGAGTTGATTCAAGTATATTAATGGCGTGATGATACCAGTTTCAAAGTTGTTTGCCGTTTGGCTTCTCATGCTCATCTTTAATGAACAGCAGCAATTGATTCCACTAGTACCAATAAATACTAAGCCAGACACTAAATACATGCCCCATTTTAGCTGCATTACATTAATCATTCAACTGAAGTCTAAAAGGATGACTGTTCTTACAAGCTGAAAGAATATAAACCCTTTAAGAAATTATAGTTTATCTAAGCTCAGTTATTTACATATTTGTTGGATCTTTCTTATAGGACAATTTCACACCAATAAGAGAGTATCACTCTCACCCAGAGCTCCTGAGAGTCTTTTTCCTTGCTTAGTTCTGGTTTAGATACCCTTTTGATGTACTCACAGGGAATCTCTTGTTCCTGTCAGGACTGCCCCAAAGCATAAGCACAGGCATGTGTGTGCAAGAGGAGAGAAGTTTTGAAAGAGTTAAGCAAAGGCAAGAGTAGTCACAGGAATATTGTTCCATTCATAAGATGTTTAATCACTCTCTGATGGACACTGAAATGGACTTTTGCATATATTTGCCCTAATTGGAGTGAATACTGAAATAAACACTGCACCTCAGTGGCAGTTTAAACACCTGGGTTTGCAGAAGTGCTCTCAGTTGTATTTTTTTTTCTTGGAAACACTTTCCTCTTTGTCTATCTTCATTAGATTCATGAGTTCATATACTGCAGCACCAATTCCCCTTTTCCCCAAGATTTTGAGCTGTCCCCTTGAAAACCCTATTTTTTTAATATGCTTAGATGACAAAACATAGATGCTTCTTGCTCAGTGCAAATCATTTGCTTACTCACTGTTGTTTCACAATCTTTCAAGGAAACCACCAGACTGAATGTATAAGATACTTTTCCCAGGTTTTATTGCAGTTATTCACTATGATGAAATCATAAACCACGTCACCTTCCCAGACTTCTTGCTCAAATTCCAGAGGTCTTTATCTTGAATTCTTCTGATCTTTTTAATCATTGTTTCTGTAAACAATTCTATTATTTCTTTCACATAGGTTCATCTAGAACGCAATTCAAAGTTTTTCCTCACTAGAAACCAATCAACTCTGGTAAATATTGTTCTTCCTGAGCAGCACTGCTATCCAAAATAACCTATACATTTTCCTAGTTAGGATAGGAAATTGTAAGGAAATAAGAGTCCTTTGATGCAATTAAATCTGTTTTCAGGATCTGTAATTACAATTCCTGCTTTCTCAAGCATGAGACAATTCAAAACACAAGACTATCTTCCTGCTCCAGCCTCTTTTAGCCAGCACCCAGTACAAAGGCCTCTGACTTTCCTGGGCATGCTTTGGGCTTTGTTGTTATGTTGTTCCTGAGCTCTGCCTTTGTTTTCTTTGCACGGTCTCCTACATACTGCCAGGCTCCTCAAGCAGCATGCAGAACCTTCTCTGCCCACAGTGTTCAAACTGCTGAGCAATCTTGTATTTACCTTTGCTCTGTGAGAGAAACATTAGCTTAGTATTCTCTTGCAGCCCTATTTATTGAAAGATGGTGGTTATGTCCTGCAATTTCAACTCCACCTACAAACACTATATGAATGATTATCTCAAGAGGATGTGGGGGAAAGATCACTGCTACTTCTTCTAGACAGACCTACCTATTCTCAAAACAAGAAACATTTGTTAGTTTTACAGTGAAACTATCTGTATTAAAATGTTATTCAAAATGGTGTTTCCAAGTGTATCTAAGACTGCTAGCAGCAGGTCTTGGTGAAATGCCATTGTCTGTGTGATGTTTGAATATACAGAAGAAAGTCGCAACAATTTTTTCCCTGTTTGTATTAGAAGAACAAAGCGTTAGAAAATTGTATCAATCATGTTTTCTTTTTATTGCAAAATCAAGATTAAGGTTAATTCGAAACTCTGTCATAGGTTTTGAATCAATTTGTGAAATATTCCAGGCATTGTGAGTCCCAGTTAAGCCGAAGTCAGCTGGCATGTCTGGGAGAATGTATAAATTTTACCATTGATTTGAGTAACAAACCAGTGAAACAATTATTTTCCAAGGGTTAAGTATTTAGACTGCTAAATAATTGTTACACAATTTGGTAACAACAGTTGCCAAATAATTGGTAACTACCAGTGCTCCTTACTGGTCTCCTATTTATTTCGTATGATTTTTATATATGCTCCGTGGAAGTAGCAACACTAGAAACTAGACAGTCATCCAAATTCTGTCTTTAACTGATAATTAGGTTGAAGCCGGTGCTTTTATTTGGACTAACGAGCGAGAGAACTGAATACGCGAAATACTGCTTGCAAATCTGCGGTTATCACCGCCCACGGCTACCGATGACGGGCATCATTTCCTCCGCCTTGGGGAGCCGCGGTGCGCCCCGGCCCGGGGAGCACGGCCGGCCCGCCCCCCGCCCGGCCTGCGCAGACGTGTACGACCACCCGCGGGCTCGCTGGCAGCGGGCAGGACCCCGCGCCGAGGAAACGGGCGGCAGGTGGGCGCGGGCAGCCCCGGGCCCCTCCGAGCAGCCGGGAGCTGCCTCGGCTACGTACCGGTGCTTGGGTGCGATACTCACCTGCTCGGGAGGGGTTTACACCACGATTTTTAACAGGAAGGAGGGGGGGGAAGAATGTTTGGCATTGCAGCTACTTCCGGCTGTCAGTGCCTCGGCCGTGGCAGCTGCCGCGACTTTCCCTCCGTCCAGGAACGACGCTGCTCCGCGGTGAAGCCGGGATAACCGCTACCACCGCCGCGGCGGTGGTAGCGGTTATCCCGGCTTCACCGCGGAGCAGCGTCGTTCCTGGACGGAGGGAAAGTCGCGGCAGCTGCCACGGCCGAGGCACTGACAGCCGGAAGTAGCTGCAATGCCAAACATTCTTCCCCCCCCTCCTTCCTGTTAAAAATCGTGGTGTAAACCCCTCCCGAGCAGGTGAGTATCGCACCCAAGCACCGGTACGTAGCCGAGGCAGCTCCCGGCTGCTCGGAGGGGCCCGGGGCTGCCCGCGCCCACCTGCCGCCCGTTTCCTCGGCGCGGGGTCCTGCCCGCTGCCAGCGAGCCCGCGGGTGGTCGTACACGTCTGCGCAGGCCGGGCGGGGGGCGGGCCGGCCGTGCTCCCC